AAAAAAAAAAAATAGACCCCATGAACCTGTGCAGCGAAATATAAAGGTCAAATACTCGGGTAAACAGAGTCTTACCACATTGGTGTAAGACAAACGTTTACAAATTCAAGAGGCTCAGTAAACTCCAACCAGGATGAATTACAGTCTTCACGAACTGTTGAAAAGCAAAAACTATAACAAAATCTTAGAAGCAGTAAGAATGAATCACCAAGTTATATTCAGAACAATAATTTGAATGAATGCAGGCCTTTTTATCAGAAACCACTGGGACCGGCGCACCTAGGAATAGCACTTTAAAGTCCTAAAAGAGAAAATAAAGCTAATCTAAAATTCTCACATGAAACAGATATATGCAAGGGAAGAGAAAAAAAAAATGATTTGGAGAAAGTAGACACAGATTAAAAAAAAAATCTATCATGAGAAACCTTAGAAAGACAAGAGAAAACAATGTACCTCTGAAATAACTGGTGCTATAAAAACTGAAAAATTGTAAAAAATACTCTGGGAAATTACAGACATAATTAAGAACGAAAACCTAGAGGTCGAAAGTTGGAACCCAAGTAAAGGAATTCTACCAGAAGGTACAGAAAACATAATGAGACAGAAAAAAAAAGAAGAGGGAAAATCAAGAGTTCAGTCTAGGTCTGACATACACATCAAAGAAAAAAAAAATAATGAAAGACAAATCAAAGAAAATTCCCTGGAATTGAAGTCACTTAGATTTCAGATGGGAAAGATCTATTTAGTATCCAGTACAAGAAAGCAGCTCATTGTAACATTTTATAAGATAGAGGACAAAGAGACTACATCAAGACTTCTAAACCCAAAAAGCATCACATAGACCAGGAATCTCAAGAGATTTGACTTCTCAATAGCTACCCTGAAAGCTAAAAGACAGTGGAGTAATGCCCTCAAAATTCCATGGGGAAATGTGTCTACCTGAGAAACTCAAAGCCAGCTAAACTGGTACTCAAGAATGAGGGTAGACTAAAAACATTTTCAGACAGGGTCTCAAAATTTACCTTTCATTCATGCTTTCTCAAGAGCTCCTAGAAGAGGCGCTCCAGCATAGAATCCACCAACAAAACTTGGTTCAAGAGGGGGGGAAAAAAAAGAAACTTGTCAGAAGGGAGATCACAGATGACAACTCTGTACCAGCTGGGAGAGCAACGTGTCCGAGAGGCACAGGCAAGGAGGTGCCAGGAGACAGGGCCTTGGTAAGGGGACACTCATGGGTCGGAAAATAATGACAGGAGACACAGACAACCAGGGTACAGTTTGCAGCTGAATTACAGTAAGTATGTAGAAAAATAATCAAACAAAAAGATAATAAAGGAGAAAATGTAAATAATAAGAGAAAATAAAAATTGTGCACGAATGAAAATTAAACAGCATATTGCGTGACCGCGTTGTAATTTAGCATTCTCATTAAGTCATAATCCACACTGAACATTATTCTATCCCAAATTACTTTTTGGCATATGGGGAAGATGGGAGGACGGGAAGTTATATATAAGGTGGTTATGAGGGGCAGTGAAAAGAGGCTAAAGACTCATCTTTCACAGTGAGAGCAGGTACTACCTAAAACTGAAGAGTATCAAAAAATTACAGCTAATAACATTATTGAGATATAGCTATAAACACTAAAAGAAATACCATAAAGAGTTAAAAGTAACTGCTTATGAGGTATAGGAAACTGGAAAGGGGAAGACTGAATTAGGAACTACAATTTTCAAAATCTAATCTGCATATAATGATTTGGCTCTTTAAATTAGGCACACGTATAACTTTTTCTTTTTTGAGACAGAGTCTCACTTTGTTGCCCTTGGTAGAGAACTGTGGCATCACAGCTCACAGCAATCTCAAACTCTTGGGCTCAAGCAATTCTCTTGCCTCAGCCTCCCATGTAGCTGGGACTACAGGCGCCTGCCACAGCGCCCGGCTATTTTTAGAGATGGGGTCTTGCTCTTGCTCAGGCTGGTCTCGAACCTGTGAGCTCAGGCAGTCCACCGGCCTGGGCCTCCCAGAGTGCTAGGATTATAGGCGTGAGCCACAGGCCCAGTCATACACGTGTAACTTTGAGGAAAATAAAAACTAAATTAAAAAGATAACAGGAATAACAACAGTAAGGACAGAAGAACACTGTTGGATGCAGAGACGGGGTGAAGAAACTATGAAAGAATGAAAAACATTTCAACAACACACGATATGGATGCAGGGTGGAAGAAGGACTTTAAAGCATGCTCATCTATTTATTTAAGCTTAAGTGTGAGCATAAATAAGGACTTAGGCTTAAAGTTGTTTTAAAACAAAAATTTGACTATTATAAAATTTAGAACATTTAAAAATAACCAAAAACTCATATCCATAAACAAAATTAAAAGGCAAAACACTGGCTCGGCGCCTGTGGCTCAAGTGGCTAAGGCGCCAGCCACATACACCTAAGGTGATGGGTTCAAATCCAGCCCGGTCCGCCAAAACAACAATGATGGCTGCAACCAAAAAATAGCCAGGCACTGTGGCGGGCACCTGTAGTCCCAGCTACTTGGGAGCCTGAGGCAGGAGACTTACTTAAAGTCCAGGAGTTGGAAGTTGCTGTGAGCTATGATGTCACAGCACTCTACCTAGGGGGACAGCTTGAGGCTCTGTCTCCAAAAAAAAAGGCAAAACACCATGAAAAAAATCCACAATATACTCAAGTAAACACACAATTTTTATAAATTTATAAACAGTCGAAAAAACAACAGAAAACAGAGGGAAAAAATGAACAAGCAATCCACACAAAACAGAAATATATAATAGCTAATGAATATGAAAAAATATTCATCTTCATTAGTAATTAAAAATAAAAATTAAAATAAACAACCTCCTCTGCTCCTAAAAAGGAATGGAACTATTTATTCCTTGAACAAAATATAAGGGTAAAAGCTATTCTCTGCTTTATAGATCCTGGAGGAAATAAAGTGAATTCTCAATCTTGCTTACTGAATTAGCAAAGATTAAGAAGCAAAACAACATTGATCAGAGTATGGAAAAAAGCATTCTCAACACAGTGTTGAAAGGCGTACACATAATACACTTCACTGAAGGGCGTCTGAGCAATAGCATTGTGTTATCAAATCTTTACAAAATCTGTGCATCAAAATTTATCCTAAGGAAGTAACTGAAAACAATCACATTATAGGCTCGGCGCCTGTGGCTCAAGTGGCTAAGGCGCCAGCCACATACACCTAAGGTGGTGGGTTCGAATCCAGCCTGGGCCGCCAAACAACAATGATGGCTGCAACCAAAAAAATAGCCAGGCGTTGTGGCGGGCCCCTGTGGTCGCAGCTACTTGGAAGGCGGAGGCAGGAGACTCTGCTGTGAGCTGTAATGCCACGGCCCTCTACCCAGGGAGATAGTTTGAGGCTCTGTCTCAAAAAAAAAAAAAAAACAATCACATTATATACAAAGGGACATTTATTCACAGACTTTTAAAATGCTGAAGAATTAGAAACAACTTATGAGACAGAATATCATGCACTTCATCAGAATTCTGTAGTAGAAAACTGAAGAAAAAAGTTTCATATTAAATAAAATGTGAGTTACAAAGCAGAATGCAGATTATCACAATTCAAACAAACAAGTAAAGCTAAAATAAACATATACGTGCAGAAAGAAAGAAGGCTGAAAAGATAACCCCCAGCACGAATGAGAAGTTGCACAGGTGGTGATGGTACGACGTGTTTCCAATTTTTCAAGAGCAACTATAGTATCTAAGCAGTTTGAAAACAAGATGAGCAATAAACAATGAGGAGAAAAGAAGAAAATGGAGCTAAATGAAGACTTCTGCACTTGCCAAAATTCTATTAAATATATATTTGTCTCTTGAATATATATTCATTTGGGGGGGGTTAAAAAAATCTGCAAGCTAATACAGATTTCAAAGAGTACAATAATATATTTATAAAAAGCAAGTGCTCTGGCGATGGGTTGCTAATTTATAGTGATTTATAAATTACAAAACTGCTTTACTAGTTTTGATTTATTCCTATAATTTTACACAAGATTCAAGAATTCATTACCAATGAATCTCTATTATAGAGCTTAAGGAATTCTTTCATTGTTTAATCAAACTCTGAAGAATTACTTATGTAACCTTAAATGTCAGCATACCTATACTTAAATTTGTCACTTCCTTTAATAGTCTTTATATAAAATGTACGTCATTTATAAGGGCAAACAGAATTGTAAAGAATAAGACATCCGTCAAGACACCTGAGTGAGATGTGCTAGGAAAACAAAGATTTTTCTTTAAACCCAATGCCTGGGCTACTCGTTTCTATAACCTTAGATAAGTCTTTCATCATTAAGAGTAAATTTTTAAAAACTCATTTATAATATTTAGACCACTGACATATCATGACTGTAAATCTAAGGTGTCATGAATGATGTAACACATGTAACTCCCACTCAGAACCCGTGTAACCCACATAACAGCACAGACTTTCCACTTGCCATGAGTAATGGAATTTGGGTTCAGCCAATTATAGGGACACGAACAAGGAAATAACTAGGATGGTGTAACTAATTTATCATACAACTGACAGGGTTCTGAGAAAGGATATAAACTACCTCTAAATTCTTTCTTTGTGAGTTGACAGCTCATGCTCTATTACAAAGTTGACAGAGTGATGATTTCCAGGATAGGTTTCTCACCATCATAGGCAACAAAAATATAAATACATTATTTTCTTAACCCTTTCTAATGCTATTTGAATTGTTCCTTCCAAATAAAGTGAATATATTTTATATAACAATACCTATACTTGATACAATACACTTATACTTGGTCATAAAATATAACTCTGAATTTTAGTTAATCTTTCAGAGGAGAGTCCTTTTCTCCATCTTAAAATGTTTTACTAATACTGAAACATAACTTCTGAATGGGCTAAAAAAATGTCAAATAAAAGGAACTGTCTGCAGTGCTGGACGCAGAGCTTTGCCACAAGTCTCACCTCCTCTGGATGAGATAATCTTCCAGGATGTCGAGGCAGCGCACCATCTGGGAGAAGATGAGCACCTTATGGCCACCTGCAATCAGCTTAGGGAGCAGTTTATCGATCAGCACCAGCTTCCCTGCTGCCTGAATCATGGCCTGCAGCTGAAAGTCAAGGGCATCGGGGCTATGGGATTTTCGGAAATCTTCCAGAATTTTCTCCTCTGCTCCTAAAAAGGAATGGAACAAACTATTTATTCCTTGAACAACATATAAGGGTAAAAGCTACTCTCTGCTTTATAGATCCTGGGGGAAATAAAGTGAATTCTCAAGTCCTGGACCAGCAGTCCAGTGAGAAGATGCTGGGTGTGTATCCCTGGTTTTGCCCTCAGCAGTGACACAGGGGCTTGGCTTTCCCAAGAAATCTCATCAAAGAGAGAGGGGATTTGAGACACCAATCCTAAACTAACTTCACTTGCCCAAGTAAAGAAACCGTCCCAGAAAGTTGGCAAAAAAGATCTTTATACTTCTTAACAGCACAAAGACTAGCTCTAAGAGAATCCAAGTCACAATTTGATTTTAAATTTTTTTCCCAGAAGTTCTTTAAAAAATCCCTTCTGGAGTGGCACCTGTGGCTCAAGGAGTAGGGCGCCAGCCCCATATACTAGAGGTGGCGGATTCAAACCCAGCCCCGGCCAAAAACTGCCAAAAAACAAAACAAAAACCCTTCCAACATATTCTTTAACTAGTGCAGGTAACTGCTAAGTTGTCTGCAGAAACCTTTAATAGCACTATAGCATTTTCATTCATTCAATTAAGTAACACATCTCCCTGTCCTCATGTGGAAAGCGTGAGTTAAATCAGGGGTCCTCAAAACTTTTTAAAGAGGAGGCCAGTTCACTGTCCCTCAGACCGTTGGAGGGCTGGACTGCAGGCCCCAGGACAAGTCGGCTGCTAAGCAGGATAGGCAGCAGCGGCAAAACCACCCAGCGGGCCGGATAAATGTCCTCGGCGGGCTGCGTGTGGCCCGCAGGCCGTAGTTTGAGGATGCCTGACCTAGACTCTGAGCAAATAAAGGGCATCAGCTGAGTGGTGCCTACCTTCTGCCAGGCAGAGTATGTAGTGTGAGGCAGAGTGTTGGAAGAAGTAAGTTCAAAACTTAGCACTGTGTACTTATTACCTAGATTGCTTAAGCCTGCGGTTCTCAACCTTCCTAATGCTGTGAGCCTTTACCATAGTTCCTGTGGGTCGCAACCCATCAACCTCTCTCAACCTCTCTGAATCTGAGTTTTCTATCCTCTAGAAAGGTGAGTGTATACATCATTCTACCATACAGTGGGAAGCCAATACATGAGTTCTTGGACTACCATTAGCTTCCAGCAGAGGCCCATGCCAGTCCTGAGCTGCCCCCGACTCACCATTGATCAGGTAGGGATGGTTACAGCACTTCCTCAGCTCCATCATGGTGTTGATGAGATTGGGCATGTTGTGCTGATTTGCTCCCTTGGTTAGAAAGGAAAAGTTCTTCTCCAGGATGGCACGGTAGTACTTTTTCTGGATATTGGTCAGTTCCACCTCAATGATCGTCTCTTGTTTGGGGGCAAGGTTCTTTTCCACATCATCTTTCAGCCTCCGAAGCATCATTGGTTTTAGGATAGACTGCAGTTTCTTTACCTGCCCAGGGAAACAGAGACCTATTTACCTGCCCTGATCCTGGTTCAATGATTACTGGAGGATTCCAATCTTCTCTATAATTTCTTGAAAATCTAATCATAGCACGGTGGTAGTTGACTAAAAGAAAGATCATGACTGATCCCCGAAAAGGAGGAGTTTACGATAGTACTGAAAGGAAACAGGATCTGGTTTTAATCCAGAAGCAATTACTGAGAACTGATGTGGCAATCTTGCAAGATAAAAAGGGAGAAAGATACGAAAGACAGAACCTCTTGTCTAGGATGGAAAACACAAACCTCTCTCTCACTCTAACATGTGGACATGCACAGTAATTACCTGAATATTTTAAGTCATGCCAGGATGTACAAGTGCTAGACAGGGTGTCCCCAAAGTCTCCATACATAGAGAAAATTAACAGGCTTGTGCAACAATGGGTATCTCAGAACATGTTAGCTATGAGTGGGAGAGGAGACCGTGTGGGCATGCAGAAAGAAGTGGCCGACAGGTTATGACTATTTTGTAATGACTATTTAACATTTAGCTACAATCTCCCATTTTTCCGACGTAAGGCAACCTTGGGACATCCAGTACTACAAAGGCAAGACAGATGCTGAGAGAAAGGAGTTCAGAAGTAGATGCAATCTGGAAGCAGCTCCCTTCTACACCTTTTAAATAACAACAACAGCACACATGTTTAAAGGTAACAGTATGCAAAGAATTAATGTTGGAGATGACATTTATCATTCCATCATGAAATATGTCACACCAGGGGACCTTTAAGTCTGACGGTGTTTTCTGCTACTATGTGTCTGTTCTCCTAACAGCTCAGGCCTGGACAGCAGATCTTTACAAACCTGACTGCACCTGCAAGGTGACTTATTCCCTTTCCAGGTCAGACCAGGACAGACTAAGATATTCAAAATCAAAACACCTGACTGAGTTAACCTAAACTCAAGCATGACATTAGTAAGATTAACTCTGAAAGAAAAATAAAATAAGGAAAAGGTAAAGTGCCACAGAAATCAAGTTTCAAGCCAGGATGGGATGTTCAAGAATTTTAAGAGGGGTAGAGCCTGTGTAAATATTAGTAAGTTGTGCACTGTGGCAGCGTTGCCTGAAGAAATATAAAATGATCTACAGAGAGTGACTCAGAAGAGTAACTCACAAAAGGAGGTTTCAGGTAATAATGAACATGCTTTATTTTGTAAACAGATGCTTTCTCGAACTTCTATTGGCTGTGTTTCAAAATATAGACATCTCATAGAAGCACACAGAATGGTGGTTACCAGAGATGGAGGCAGGAGAGTAGGGTGGGATTTGGGAGATACCAGCCGAAGGATATAAAATTTCAGTTAGATAGGAAGAATAATCCAGTTCGTTTATTGTACAGTATGGTGGCTACAGTTAATAACAATGTATTGTATTCTTGGGTCCCTAAGAGTGTACATTTTGAGTATTCTCAATATAAAAAGTATGTGAAGTATGATGCATCTTTACTTGATTTAGCCATTCCACAACGTATATATATTTCAAAATACTATGTTGTACATTATACATATATAAAATTTTTGTCAATTAACAAATTTTAAAACTTTTAAAATTAAAATACAGATATTTGATATTATTTTTCTCCTGCCTAACCCCAATCTTAAACCTAACCCTTCATTTTACCAACTGAGGGCACTTAGAGTCTAATCTCCCAAATAGGTAAGGAATTACCATATAAGAACATCAAAAGGAAAGACACAGCTAGCTAATTGTCAAGACAGGCACAAATGTCAATCTGGACCCACACGCCAGGTCCAACTTGAGCCCTTCTCTTGGTTCACCCCTGGAATCACTTAGAGTATACTATATGCAAGACACCGTGCTGGTCAGTACAACAAGCACAGCTTTGGAGAAGGTGTGGGCCTTGTCCTCAAGAAGATCGTTGTCTGGGAAGAAGAAAAAACGCATACCACCAATTAAGTGCAATGGAGAAGGGGATGCATTTGCAATGGTCCAAAAAATGAAGAGAAGGTTGGGGCTGGCTTTTGAAAGAGACACTGCAACGTGGAGAAGGTTAGTAAGGCTGTCCTTCACTGCTCTCCAAGTAAGGCTTGCATCAGAAGTAGCAAGAAACAAACTCAAACAACAGAGTATACTCTTGACATCTGCTAGTGAAATTCCCAAGCCTTTCAGTCCCCAAATTCTCTGTCTTGACTCACGTTCACATCACTGGTAGATTAATGTAGCAAAATTAATTATGTCATTCCCCATAATAAAGCCTCGCATGGCTTGTCTGTCACCTATTGAACTCTCCAAACTACCTCAGTCTTCCCACAATATAATCCTCAGTCTCTGTCCTCACATTCCCCAAAACATCCCCCACCACTATGTTCCATGGCTCTGATTATGCTTTTGTCCAATGCTAAGTGGCCACCAGCTCTTTTCTCTACACCTGTGAAAATTTACCCATCCCAAAATACATTGTCCAATTGTACTCTCTCCCTGAAGACTTTCCTGATCTCAAACAGATAGGACATTATCTCTCCTTTAACGTTCCCAGCTCTATTATTTGTACTGACTTGCTTCTACACTGCCTGGTAGAGTTTTTTACTCCCAGTAGATAGATATTTATTAATATTCAATCAGTTTTCAATCAGCTTTGAATCCAACAAGCCAGACTTGGTACTAGACCCTTGATAACTCACGATATTCAGACCTCTGGACAAAACTGGACTTATCTCCTATCCTAGGTGTGTTACTGCCTTGTATTATGCTGTATTCAAGAAGATGGGCCTGGGAACAAGTTGCAGATTATGTAGGAAGATGGAAGGGTAAGAAAAGCAGAAAAAAGCACCATGCTCCTGAGACCAGAGCTATCAGCAAAATCACTGAACACACAAGTGATACCAGGGAAGCAGGAGGCCTGATGCACTAACGAGATATACTGGGTGTTGACTCGTCTATCAGGAAGAAGTGTAATACTCAGCTGACCCTCCCCAACATCAACAGGTACATAACATGAAGGGGATCAGTAACACTCAGTTTACCAGAGATGTCACACTTGCTAAGTCCCGTCCCCGTAGTGACCCACTCTCTCCTTGATGAAAGTAACTATCACAATGTCTCCTTGACACTTTAAGCCTCTAGTTACCTGTTCCTCGGTTTTTAGATCTCCAAACTCTTCCAAGAAAGCAGTCTCTGAAGGAAACTGTGATGGCTCCAGAAAATTTAGCAAACTGAAGAGCTCTTCCACAGAGTTCTGCAAGGGTGTTCCAGTGAGAAGCACTTTATGTTCCTGCACAAATTAAGAGCACGTGCTGAACAGTGTCAAGCCTCCAAAACTGTATTTTAGTGGGGAAAATTAAGCCAGGGCATTTTGCGCTCAATTGGGGGCAATTCTCTTCTGCTGTGATGAAAAGACAGTGCACCAACACATCAAAGGGTTACAGTCAACAGGATCAACCTTCCTTTCACATCACCGATTCCAGCAGCAATTTCATGTTAATCAAAGCAACTATTCATTCATTCACTAAATATTATCAAGTGCTTACTCACCATGTACTGCGCTCTGTGCCAAAACAGTCTTTGGTATCAGTTCATTCAGGGACCCAGAAACAAGTCAAGACACCTTACATTTCCAAGTCACTAATTTCAGGGCATTCGAGAGTCTTCCAAGGCCCTCTGAAAATCAATCTTAGGCAAAGGCCAAATTGTTGACCCAGTTTGCAATTAAAAAAAAAAAAAAAGATTCCTATCCTATTACATCATGGCTCTAGAGAGGGCAACAAGAAAATCTGGAGTAAAAAGACTATGCACAAGCAAGCTACAAGCAAAATGGCTGAAAAATGCTTCCCTAAGCTGAACTGAAGGGATGGGTCTATAAAGAGCTAACTCACCAGGGCCATGAGCTTTAGACCCTCCAGAAGTTTGCAGTTCCTATTCTTCAACCTGTGAGCTTCATCGATTATCACACAGCTCCAGTGAATCTTCTTTAGCTCTGGGCAGTCCGCCAGGATCATCTCAAACGTAGTGATGACAACATGGAACTTGAAGACTCCTGAAAGGGGGTTTCCCTGAGGACGACACAACCAAGGCAAAGCTTTACACCGTGGCTGTAGAATCCTGCTAATGGGCTACCTGCAGGATGAGCAGAGGCAACACTATAAATGCTCGTGTTCTGATGAGTAGCCAACAAGTGCTGCTATTCCCATGTGTGAGAAAAGAGAGACTATAAAACTGAACCAGCTATTCAGACGGGAGAGAGACCTCACAACACCAACGGAAAGAAGTCAAGCAGCCTTTGCCCTCACAGAGGCGAGAAGGATGAACAATACCCAAAACACAGCAGGGAAGCCTTTCATTTTTTAACTGCCATAAGGAGAGCAGATGGGTGTTGGTTCCCAGCCAGGAGTGGGTCTAAATCATGCATAGCTTGAATGCCCAAAGGAACCCTCTGGTAGTTTTCAGATTTAATAAATTTCACCTTGTAACTTGGGTTCTAGCATACATTTGAAATAACGATCCTGATTCACCTGGAACAAGGGCTACCAGGCAGGACACAGTTTTTTAACCTGTCTTCGTGCTGCCACCACATTTTAAGAGCGGAGCTGCATCATGTTCGAATACACCGTAAATTTCTTCCCAGTGTCTCTTTCTGCATCTATGAAACCCCTGGGGAGAGCACTGGTTTTACTCTGACTGAAGTCATTTAATTTTTACCTTGCTTAATTATAAAAACCAGTACCCAGGACAAACACACAACCATTAAAAAAATGACTGCACTTAACAAAAGGTTTTTTAAAAAGTTCTGTTGTGCTTTTAACAATATTTCTTTTTAGACGAGCCTCACTCTGTCACCCTGGCTACAGTGCAAGGGCATCATCAGAACTCACTGCAGCCTCGAACTCCTGGGCTCATGTGATCCACCTGTCTCAGCCCCTGAGTAGCTGGGATTACAGGTGCACACCATTACACACCAGCTAATTTTTCTACTTTTAGTAGAGGCAGGATCTTGCTTTTGCTCAGGCTGGGGTCAAACTTGTGCCTTGGTCTCCCAGAGTGCTAGTGCTGTTAACTTGTACCTTGTTTTCTTTTTATCTACCGTGTCAAATCTGTTAAGCTCCTCTTCAAATTTTCTAGCTAGGAATCCTTTCTTTGTACACTAATTCTTCCACTTACTTTCTATACTGAGAACATAAAGATTCAGGTAAAAGTTTCTGCGTGTAAAAATTAACTTTATAAGCCAACCAATGAACCACACTAAAAAAGATCTCTGGGGTATCTCAGAGAGTTTGGGCAGCATGCCCTACAATCCTGTGTTTTATCATAAATTAAAATAAACTAATAGGGAGGAACAAAAAGTCAGTTTCAACAAATGATGATTTTACAAGGTCAGTCAACAGTTAACTCAAGATACAAGGCACTAAACCCCACAAAACTAAGAGACAGAAGCCTGTTGTGGGCTCGAGGCTCACCTGTGCATCCCTGTACACCATCTCATACTGCTGGATCATCTGCCTGCTGATCTGGCTGCCGTGGTACACGATGGCATTCATCTCCGTCCACGTCCTGAACTCCCGCTCCCAGTTAGTGATGGTGGAGAGAGGGGCAATGATGAGGAATGGGCCATGGATTCCCCGGAGGAATATTTCTGAAAGGAATGTGATGGACTGGATGGTCTTCCCTAGGCCCATCTCATCAGCCAAAATACAGTTTTTTCTGCAGAAAGTGAGAAACACAGTAATTTTATCAATGCGGAAGATTTGCTGAGGTTGAGTATAACTAAAAAAGACGCTTCAGAAGTACACTCTGATCTGTACTATCACCCGTGAAGGCTGTACCATCACTTTACAGAGATTAAACTGAGGCTTATTACTATTACCATTCATATTCTGCCTACTTTCTTTTTTTGTTTTTGGAGGTTTTGGCAGGGGCCAAGTTTGAACCCGCCACCTCTGGTATATGGGGCTGGAGCCCTCCTCCTTGAGCCACAGGTGCCGCCCATATCCTGCCTACATTCAAAAGGGGGCTATGCTAACTTGGGACAATATATAGTTATGTGCCACTTAATGACAGTGACACAGGCTCTGACCAATGCATCATCAAGCAATTTTGTCATTTTGCAAATATCACAGCCTGTTCTTACACAAACCTAAATGGTATTGCCTACTCCACACCAAGGCTACATAGCATGGCCTATTGCTCCCAGGCTACAAACCTGTACAGCAGGTTACTATAACGAATATTGTTGGCAACTTAACACAATGACAAATAATTTGTGTACCTAAACTTAGAAAAGATACGTTAAAAACAGGGTATAAAAGAAAAAAATGGTACACTTCTATAGGGCACGTATGGAGCTTGCAGGCCTGGAAGTTATTCTGGGAGAGTCCGTGAGTGAGTGGTGAGTGCTAAAACAAAGGCCTAGCACCTTACTGTATAACACTGTAGACTTTAAAGACACCGAACATTCAGGCCACACTAAATTCATTTAAAAGTATTTTCACTTCAGTAACTAGCTTACTGTAACTTTTTTATTTTATAAACTTTCAACACTTTTTAGCTTTTTGATACTTTTGTAATAACACTTAGCTTAAAACACAAACTCAGTGAACAGCTATACAAAAATAGCTTCCTTTTATCTCTATTCTATAAGCCTTTTCTGTGTTCAAAATTTTTTCTTTTGCTTTCTAAAACTTTTTTGTTAAAAACTAAGACCCAAACGCACACACTAGCCTAGGCATACACAGGACAAGGGACATGGGCATCACTCTCTTCCACCTCCACGTCCTGTCCCACTAGGTCTGCAGGCTGTGACAGGCATGGAGCTGCCATCTCCGGAGGTAACAATGGCTTCTTCTAGACTATGTCCTGTACGATCTGCTTGCGGCTATTTTTTACAGTTAACTTTTTTTTTTTAATAAGTAGAAGGAACACATTTTAAAATAATGTCATAAAGCACAGTAAATACCTGAACCAGCCCCAGTTGTTCATGACCATTATCAAACGTTACACACTATACACAACTATACGTGCTGGACTTCTATGCAGTGGGCAGCAGAGGACTGTGGACACAGCATCACCACTGTAACACACTGCACTACACTGCTCTAATAGCTACCGTATCTCTAGCAATAGGAAGGTTTCAGCTCCATTATAAGCCCCTAGACCACCACAGATACATGGTTCCTGGTTGACTAAAATATCATTAAGAGTGTATTATAATTTTTTTTTTTTTTGAGACAGAGTCTCACTCTGTCACCCTGGGTAGAATGCCGTGGTGTCATAGCTCACAGCAACCTCAAACTCTTGGGTTTAAGCAATTCTCTTGCCTCAGCCTCCTGAGTAGCTTGGGACTACAGGTGCCTGCCATAACATCTGGCTAGATTTTCTATTTTTAGTAGAGATGGTATCTCCCTCTTGCTCAGGCTGGTCTTCAACTCCTGAGCTCAAGGGATCTATCCACCTCGGCATCCCAAAGTGCTAGGATTATAGGCATGAGACATGGCGTCCAGCCTAAGGAATGCATTATTATATGTGAAATAAGTGTATTAAAATATAAACTAAGTGTACTAAACATTAAAATAATATTAAGACAAGAAGAAAAAAAAATAAACCCTACCTAACCCAGTTTCTATAACTGACAAACTTCCTGGAAGCCAAAGTAAAAATAAAAAAGTCCCATGATTCTCATTGTCTTTTGTAGGTTATCAGAAGACAAACTTTTAACCCACATGATCAATTCTATTAGAGTGAAATGGTGCTCTCCTCTGTTGATCCTGAATCTCAGATTGCACAGTAGAGCTGTGGTCCTGAACGAGGTGCAGCCATGGTCTGGGCTCACTCCCTCACTGTTGGGATAAGTAACCCGAGATCTGGCAGGCGGGGTGACCGATGCTCGGGTGACACAGTGGACAAGAGGCAGAGATTACACTAGAACACAGTTCTCCAGAATCCCATTTCTCTGTATGCATCTTGCATTACAACATGATAGCTTAAAAAAATCACTACTATCAGAAACATTCTAGAATGTCCAGAAAATCTCAACCCTTCTCTCTCAAATTAGATTCTGATAGGAACCAGATCCAGTTCAAAACTGAGTGTTACAGCAGAAGTCTAGCACATCCATGGCTTTCAAACAAAGTAGCAGAGTGGGGACTAGAATCCACATCCATTCTCTGTTAGAGTTTTTCTTTTTGCTAAGGGCTGTAAGATAGATTGGATTTTGTTTCATCTAGGTTGAGCCTAACCTCTTGGTCAGATGGGCAAAAAAAAAAGAAAAGAAAAAGGCATAAAATCAATGATGTCTAAAGATTTTGGTTGAAGAAATACCTGACATAAAAATAAGTCTTGGGATGACTAAGATTACACCCTGAATCAATGGCTACGCTGTTCTCTCTCACCCATCTGCTACAGCCACTCCAAGTTTTCCAGGGAAATGCAACAGTATACCTCCAGGTACAAACATCTGGACCAGTTCTGATTCCTCACCTGTTGTACCAGTTAAAAAGAAGCCAGTTCATCCCCTCTAGCTGGTACTCCCGAAGCTGATTACTGTTCTTATACTCCCGAGATTTCTCGAGCTTCTGCCAGGAGTCTGAAGCAGGCCGCTCCTGGGGAAGAAAGCAGAGGGCACAACACATAGAGAATAGTATTTTGGGGGCATTAACACAGATAATAATGAGGAAGATGGTAAAGCTCAATGCTGTCCTAAGGATGGTTTCTATCTTCAGTTACTATGTCTGAGTAACGTGAAAGCCTTATATTTTTCAGATTTCACCAGCAGCTTAAACTAAGATTATGTGTATAAAATTTACAAGTACTTAACAAGAGAAACAGGCTTACCTAAAATCTTGATAAGGGTTATACTATTTCATATAGACTCTTACATGCCACTCCCATTTACACTTTGATTCCCCCCAGAGGCTAATTCTAGGATTTTTGCTTTCTATAAGCAGAATTTCTTCTTGTTATTTCTGTGCCTAGAGTATCAGCGCAGGAAAGTACAGTGGGTGAAATATTTTGTTTGTTAGTCTTCTCTCTAAAGTCAGCACATAAAGCAAGTAAATTGTATAATCAAAATTGCAAATTCCTTCTATTCCCATTAAACAAAATAGACACAGTCTTACTACTTTATTTTCACATGTAAAACACTGGTTTCTAAAAATATAGCCAGTCCTTGGTATACTTGGGGGGACTGGTTCCAGAATATTCTCCCATTCCCACAAACCCGAATCCACCCACACTCAAGGCCTGCAGTGAGCCCTGTAGGACCCACATGTGTGAAATGTCAGTTCAGGTCCTATAAATATTTTCGATCAGAATTTGGTGGAAAAACATCTGTATATAAGTGGATTTGCTCAGCTCATGTTGAACAACCATGTTGTTCAAGTTCAACGGTAATTCATCTTTTCTCTACTGACATGTAACGCCACATTTATCAGTATATACATGGGGCTATATCTGGATTCTGTTCCACTTGCTTGTCTATTACTGTGCTAAAACTTTACAATTACTATAGCTATAGATATGATGGGAAATTATGTGTGTTGGCTATTCCATCTTATTATTCTGAGTAAGTTTTAAATCTCACTGGAATGTCAATTAGAATTACACAGAAATATTAATTTGAGGAAATTTTTAATGTTTCTGTATTAAGCCTTCCCATGTAAAATGGGTTATAAAAATGGGACTTTGGGTTTTTTATTATTTGAGCATAGACTTAGTTATTTTGCTTATAAACAGAGCTCCTAAAATGACACTTTAAGGTCTTAAAAATTTTTTAGCTATATCGGCAATTATAAATGTGAATATTAAGATGATAGCTTTTCTCAACAATTTTAGTCGTTAGTAGTTCTGCTTTTGTTTACCTTCATAGTAATAATATTTACAAACCTGAAATATGTTTGTCAGTAATATAAATAATATTTACAATCCTGAAATATGTTGTTAACTAAAACTAAGCTATTTGCAGGTGAGATTTAATAAAATATCCCCAATTACATCACTCGTCGTTGGAGATAAGGGTAAGTTGTCCATGGCTTTCAGAAAAACACATGACACAACTTACCAAATTACTATAGCTGTAGTCAAATTAAGCACTTTGAAACAGAAGCCTGCTGGGTATCATCATTAGCATACATACAGTTACAGGCATTTTTAGAAACAGAAGAAGGAAAGATACATTATGCATAAAAAAAGTTTTGGTTTTTTTTTTTAAAAAGCTTTTCAGCAAAGATATTCCTATATAAATTCTCTTGTTTTGTTCCATTTAAGAAATTACCTTCTTAGCCAACAGAAACCATTCATCTTGAATCCCTAAAGTTCAAGCAACCCATTCTATTAGGCATTCTTCTTAACTCCACCAGATACTATGGAGAGACTTTCTAGAACAGTGGTTCTCACCCTTCCTAATGCTGCAACCCTTTAGTACAGTCCAAAGGGGTCGTGACCCACAGGTTGAGAACCGCTGCTCTAGAAGCTTTCTCACCTCTACTGACTCAGGCAGCTTGCTCTCCGCGCTGTGGATGGTGTATGAAGGAATCTCACTGCAGACTCCTATTCTGATGCCTTGGAAGTGCCTCTAATCCAGCTGCTCTGCTAAAGGTTTTAGTTTTTGTATCATCTACTGGTCAGAAATTTCAGCCACCTATCTAAGCATAAGACTTGAAATGAGCTAGAAGTTTCTCATGCCCAGTCTGGATGGTTTCAAAGTGGTATAGATAACAGGATACAAATTACTCCAGGGCTCTACAACCTTCAGTGGCTACTTAGTTAATTTCAAAAGGGGGTGAAGAATTGACTCTTGGTATCTCTTATAGGCCTTGCCTAGTAAAAGACTGCTTCTCCCCCTTTATTGACACACTTGTTTCTTCCTTTCTTGAAATACTATATTTTACCTACAAGTAACCCATTTTTACCAAAGAGATTTCAGGTACAGAATGTTCTATTCATCAAGACAAGTAAGGTCATCTCTAAGCTTCAAAATTCAGAATGAGATACCGTAAGAAAATAACTAATTCAAGTAAAGCCATCTGGAGCCATCTCCCTTCTTAATATGTGAAAAGAGCATTAATGATATCATTAGCCACTATTTTGATTTAGAATTTTGAGATAAAATTCTAAAATCTACCTTTCAAATGAGAATACATTAGAAAAAAAAGACAAGGCCAGGCAAGGAGGCTCATGCCTATAATCCTAGCACTCTGGGAGGCCGAGGAGGGTAGATTTCTTGAGCTCACGAGTCCGAGACCAGCCTGAGCAAAAGTGCGACTCTGTCTCTACTAAAAATAGAAAAACTGAGGTAAGAGGATTGCTTGAGGCTGAGCTGGAGGCTGCTGTGAGCTATGATGCCACAGCACTCTACCTAGGGTGACAGCTTGAGACTGTCTCAAAAAAAAAAAGACAAGTGTAAAATGATACTTTGGTTCACTGATGAACGAGGAGGACAGCAGAACTGCAAAGTGAAGGAAATGTGGTATCACATGAAAGTGTGTATGAATTCACATTCCTGACAAATACAGTCAGGCTGAAGAACTACGTGGGAGTCCAGCAAAAGCAACGGTGAGAATCTCGACTGCTTCTAGATGATAGCTGACAATCAGCCTGGCGCCGTGTTTGTTTACGTACTCACATGTGTCTCCCATCAGACCACGAGCTGGGGGCAGTGCCTGTGTGTACCTTGTTTTTTACTGTACCTCGCACAGGAATCAAATTACAGCAGATGCTTAATAAAGGACTAACAAAGTGGAGGAAAACCAGAAAACAGTGTATAAATAATCATACGGACAAAACGCCATAAACTATGTAAGTTACTAATCACAGCTCTGCATCTCAAGATCTTATGCCAAAAAATAAAAATACCCAAAGAAACAACCAGCAAAAAATCTGCAGAAACAAAACACTGCTCTGGAATGGACTCCGAGTCTAAGTTCAATGTTGAGGTGTAATCTTCTGAGCCATAACTTTCTAGTCATGTAAAAGCAACAAATACTACTAAAAAGGAACTGGATAGTGGTTTTTCATATGAAAATGGTGGCTTTCTTTTTTTAAACAGCAAGTGATCATTCCAACCTATAATCACACCCTTTAACAACCGATTCCCTCCTCAACAGTTTACACTTTACCAACAGCCCTGATCCCACTTCCTCCTCCTCCTAATTCCTGACGTTCCACACACAACTCCTCAGGCACCCAGAGCATCTCGGCAGTTGTGCTCATAACCCGGAATCACAGAAATGAACTGATTAGTAAGCATCCCAAGACCTACACTCCCTCTGCGAGGTTCTAGGGATCTACAGACAGTTCTTCCGCTTAAGAATATTCCAGCTGAGTGAAGGAGAAGGATAAAAGAAAAGCAGTCTGATGAAGCAAGAGAGAAGAAACAGGAAGTAGGGAAGATGCCGTCCATCTACGGAGCTGTTTTCACACGCCAGCCGCTGCTCATGTATCCAGCTCACTGATGCCACGTACCAGCCACGCACCAAGAAACTCATATCCCAGCTTCGTAAATGCGGCCAAACCAAAATAAAGAGGAGACCTAAAGCTGACCAGGGTGCTGGCAAGGTTTGATTCGGGAAAGAAAACATCCTGAGCTGCAGACTCAATGGGCAGAGTGAGAAAGGGCAATGCTATAAAACCACTTAGGAATGTGGCCATGTGGACGTCCCTAATTGCAAAGATCAGAAAACCACACATTCTAAGAGGTGTCAGACAAAAGATCAGAAAATCACACATTCTAAGAGGTGTCAGACAGAGGTAGGAATACTTTACCACGTGCTTAATTTCAGGGAGCACTTGAAGAGATTCAAACTCTTTAACTTTTGCGGGGTCCACATCCTCCTCTAGCTCCCATGTGCTTTCTTCATAGGGCAGCGAGCACCACTTTACCAGATAATGTGTCACTTCCTGGTGGGAAACAGGGGAGAAAACTTAATGTTCTTTCGAAGTCAAATCATACTCTGCTAACCTCTGAAAAAACACCCTACGTGACAACGCAATAATACCACTAAAACACAGGGCACATGTTCACAAAAGGAGCAAAACGTGTAGACAGAAGGGAAGAGACTTCAGGAGAGGCAAAAACCCACCTCCCCTGTTTCTGCATCCTTGGTGTGGGCCACCTCCAAGATGCGATCGACTTCCACATAGTCTGGATTGAACAAGTCTTCATCAGGCTAACACAAAACAGACGAGAACAGTTAAGAAGTGGGAACTCTCGCCTCAAATCCAACACCCAGGTTTCGTCTTTAAGTGATGTCTGGGCTCTATCAACAAACACACAAAGAAAGAGTTTGCTTGAGAATAAAAATCATTTCACAGACATTTCTTGGCTGTCCCCAAATACTGCTCTCCACGACTAAATTCAAAGGATCCAACCGTCTCAGAGGCTGCACTGTGGCTGGGTAACACTTGGGTCGCTCTGAAAGTCTGGGGATGGACTGTGTTATGGTCCACTGTTTCACTTCCAAGAAACTCAGCTGACAGTGTCCTTTCTGCTTCATGTGTGCACCTTGCTCAGCTTATCGGTATGGTGTGGAAGGCTTCATTTGTTTCCCTCCCTCCACACAGATTTTACACTGCTTGAGTTTTGTGTTTCTTAAAACTTTCGTAATGACCTATGTATTTCCCTGTTGGTCATTACCAGAATGAGCCCTTGGCAGGCAGCAATCAGTTTCTTCTTGATAACAAGAGACACAGCAGCCAACACTGGAAGGGGCCGTGGGGGAAGCTTCCTGGGTACTGAGAATGTTCTGTTTCCTGATCTAGGCGGTAGTTACACACACGTGTTTATCTTGTAAAGATTGACTGAGATGTACGCTTAGGATTTATTTCTCTTTATGAACATTATTCTTCAGAAAAGCTTATTTATAAAGCAACAATAAGCAACAGTTAGGAATATTTACTGTATGTGTGGAGTAGTGCTAAGTGCTTCAAATCTCAAAGCTGTCTCATGGAGGCGACGCTACGGTTACTGTACACATGAGGAAACTAACTCAGAGAGGCTGGGTAGTAATGGCTAAGGCACAGGGCTACATAACCCGGGTCTTTCTGACCCAGAAGTCCTTCTCCAGGACAGCTAGACTGTTCTTACTTTCTGTTAGGTTGGAAGGTACTTTAGGAACTATCTAGTTTCACTGTCTGATCAATCCAAAAAAACCCCATTTTTTCCTGCATGCCTGGCAAGCCCACCCACAGATTCATTTATTCCTATTAAGAAATGCACTACCTTCTAATATCTGATTCACTGTTGAAACAACTATACCTCTCTCTGCCTATTTAGTACGGTACCACACTCCTTATCATCATTATCACTGAATTACAGCCTCACTCCCTTCCTTGTAACTGTCACTCATTGGTGTGAAATGCTTCCTCTATGGCGGCAGTAATTTTTTTTTTAGGACATAAACGTATAAGTTTATTTTATATTTTCATATGAGAGAGAAAGAATGTGGGGGGGGGTAGGGAAAAGGAGCAGGGAAACTGTGCGGCATCCCAGGAAGGAAAGGGGGTGCTGGCAATAGATAATTTAATGATTTCCTTCCTGGGCAGGCTCTTCAACAATCCCCTTCCCTGAGTTAAAAAAAACCAAAAAACAAACAACAACAACAACAAAAACCCCAGTTTGTTCAACTGTTCATGTTGTGTTTCTGGACCTGGGAATGATACAGAGCTTTTATTTATGGAGTAGTGACGATGAGCCAGGCACCGTGTTAAGCACTTCTACAAACAGAGCGTCACTTACTGTTCACGACAACCAAGTACAGAAATAACCCAAGTGTCCATCAAGGGATGAATGGGGAGAGAGAACGGGGCATATACATACAACAGGTTATCATCCAGCCTTAGAAAAGAAGGAAATTCTGTCATCGCAACGACATGGATGACCCTGGAGGACATTGTGCTTAGTAAAATAAGCCACACACAAAATGACAAATGCTGTCTAGTCTCACTTATGTATGGAGTCTGAAATAATCACACTCATGGAAGCGGAGTGAAATGGTAACTGCCCAGGGGTGAGGGGGAGGAGTAGATGGGAGATGCTGGTCAAAGTGTACAAATGCAGTCGTATAGGATGAGTAAGTTCTGGAGATCAGTGCACAGCACAGCGATGGCAGCTAAAAATACTGTATTGTGTGCCTGAAATTTGCTAAGAGGACAGATCTTAAGGGTTCTTACTCTAAGAAAATGGTAACTATGCGAGGTGATAGATTGCTAATTAGCTTGACTGTAATGATTATTTCATTATGTATACCTACATCAAAAGATCAAGTTGTATACCTTAAATATATACAATCTTTATTTATCAAGTATATGTCAATAAAGCTAAAAACAGCAATAGCACTGTCACCTGATCCTTGCAGGGATTCTATTAAAAATCCCTCTTGTACATATGAGGACACTGAGTTTGAAGGCACTTAGGCAAGTGGACTTGGGCTGAGTGTGAGGCGGGCAGCTGGACCACAAAGCCTAGGCTCTCACACCGTCAGGCCGACTGCCCGCCTCTGCTCTCCATCACCCTGCTATGCTTTGGCCGCCAACCACTTCACTCAGGTCTTACAAACCCCTCACTGAATCCTGGCCCCCAAATGAACTTAACACCCCGAGATGAGATGAAGGGACCAGTAGGACTGCTGTTGGTGCTTTTTAAACAGCCACACCCCTACTTTCTACTCCTGGCACACAGTAAGCTTGTAAGTAATTAAACCGGCAATATCTTTTTTCCTAGAACTGTCATCCAGTCATTTTCCTCACTTCAAAATTTATAAAGATTCTTAAAAGATCAAGTAGGACACTACGTTTAGTCCCTCGTTTTATTCATCCTGGCCTGTCCAGGTAAACCTAGACTTTGTGTCATTTATTCTAATTTGGTTAAAAAGGATTGAGTCAGAAGGCCTCTGCCTCTGCAGTGCACGGGGACTTGCAGCCTCTAGAGCAGTCGTCTTCAACTGGTGTGCTGTGAAAATATTTACAGATCATTCACTAAATTATTTTTGAAAGAAGTTCAAAGCACAGTAAACATATTCTTTTTTTTTTTTTTTGAGACAGAGCCTCAAGCTGTCCCCCTGGGTAGAGTGCCGTGGCATTACAGCTCACAGCAACCTCCAACTCCTGGGCTCAAGCGAGTCTCCTGCCTCCGCCTCCCAAGTAGCTGGGACCACAGGCGCCCGCCACAACGCCCGCCGGCTATTTTTTGGTTGCAGCCGTCATTGTTGTTTGGCGGGTCCGGGCTGGGGATTCGAACCCGCTACCTTAGGTGTATGTGGCTGGCGCCTTAGCTGGTTGAGCTATAGGCACCAAGCCAACATATTCTTTTTTTACTCGTTTTTGATCAACATAATTTGAGTGTGCTGTGAGATAAAAAAGGCTGAAAAACTCTGCTCCAGAGGCGGGGCGGGGCCTCCTTCACAGGTACCTTGGCCACCTCACAAAGCAGTTGGAGAGAATCAATACGAACATGCTTTACTCAAAACTGAGTTACTATTTATATCATAAGATTATTATTTATCTAAGTTACTAATAAAAATGTTAGGTCAAGACCAAAGGCGGTGTTACAGGATATAGTCCCCACTATTACCGCTCCTTAATTCCAAGGCTTCCAACTTCCTTCAAAGTCTTCCCTTCTCACAAGAACATCAACTCCTGTTACACTATTTCTATACAGCGTAACACAACTTCCCTTCTCTACTCCCAGTCAAGGAAAAATCACTTCCTTGGGAATATATGAGAAAACAGACACACAGTTTGTGTAGGCTAAGGGGTCCGGATTTTACTCCAAGAAAATGGCAAGTGCTGATGGTCCTGAAGCAGGGCTGTAAGACAAACCCTCCTTCCTCACCTGGGACAGCCAAGTAATTGCCGGGTGCTGGGCCTGTGCCTAGTACCAATGATACAGCAGAAGGAAGACAGGGGCTCTGTCTCACAGGGCGTAAAATGGAAGAAACAGACACGTAAACAAGTCACTACGCTGGAAATAATCGCTAAAATAGACGAGTGAATAAAACGTTCCAACATGTATGGCACATCTCCCACAGGGCTTTGAGAGTGGATCCTCCAGTTCCAGCTGCCGCCTTCCTTCCTCTCCCCAGCTCTTTATTAGAGGAACACGGCCACGAAAAACAGTTCTCTTGGGCTTTAAAACAATCACGGAGGGGGCTGGGGCCAACTTTTAAAGATAAATAGGATGGATCTCCAGTTGGGAGAAGGAGAATCTTTACTGACATTATCCTAAAATAACTTTCTGTGACGAGGAACAGAGTACAACATGAAGAGTGAGCTGCCGTGTGTGTGGGGGGCACGGCTCCATGAACAGTGAGTGAGCTGATGGGTGTGCACAGCAAGTCTCTAAACTGGAGCTTATCTGTGGAAATATTTAGGATCTAGCACTAATGGCTACATTTAAAAAATAATTTTTATTGCTTCTTTTCAAGTTATCTGTATAAAATTGAAAACTACATGTTTTTTTTTTTAAAAAAAGAAAAGCTGGGCCCAGTAGCTCACGCCTGTAATCCTAGCACTCAGGGAGGCACAGGCGGGTGGATTGCTGGAGGTCAAGAGTTTGAGACTAGCCTGAGCAAGAGCAATCCCTGTCTCTGCTAAAAATAGAAAACTAGCAGGGTGTTGTGGGGGGCACCTGAGGTCCCAGCTACTCGGGAGGCTGAAGCAAAAGGAGAACTTGAGCCCGGTGGTTTGAGGTTGCTGTGAGTCATGACGCCACAGCACTCTACCAAGAGCAACATAGTGTGCCTGCTGCCTGCTGCTCTTCTAAGAGGTCATGCCGGGTCCTACTCCCACTTAGTGACAGGCGAGAGTGGTAATTCTGTATCCCTTCTACAGCAATGGATAATGTCTGTTCTTACAACCTTCAAGTATCTGAGCAGTAAAAACTCCAATATTCCTATTTGGATCTGTACTTCTTCCACTACTATGAAATTGACTACATTTACATGGTCAAAGACCAATAATTCCTTCGTTCTGAATTCCCTGGTAATCTGTCCATTTCTATTTGGGTCTTTATATTTTCCTTATTAAGTTATAAGACCGGCTCGGCGCCTATAGCTCAACCGGCTAAGGCACCAGCCATGTACACCTAAGGTGGCAGGTTCGAATCCCCAGCCCGGGCCTGCCAAACAACAATGACGGCTGCAACCAAAAAATAGCCGGGCATTGTGGCGGGCGCCTGTGGTCCCAGCTACTTGGGAGGCGGAGGCAGGAGACTCGCTTGAGCCCAGGAGTTGGAGGTTGCTGTGAGCTGTAATGCCACGGCACTCTACCCAGGGGGACAGCTTGAGGCTCTGTCTAAAAAAAAAAAAAATAAAAGTTATAAGACCATTTCTTTCCATTAAAGATGTTTGTCACATGTATGCAATTCATATGTGTGTGTACATATGAATAGAAAGGTTCCCATACTGAATAAGAAGAACACATGCCATAACCATATTCATGGATATAAATTAGGAAAAAAGTGTACGACCATAATGTATATACATATTTTCCAATTATTTACCTAATTATTTCCAATTATTTACCTATATGTGGTATTTTCTGATAAACGGCACCTACAGATTTAATACTCAAATCCACCAGTCCTTCCTCTGGTTGTAGGTACAAAACTTAGAAATTCCTAAGTTTACATAAATAAAACTAATTAATTAATTTATTTTCTAACACTTCTAGCTTTGGTTTTTTTTTTTTTTTTGTAGAGACACAGTCTCACTTTTTGGCCCTCGGTAGAGTGCAGTGGAGTCACAGCTCACAGCAACCTCCAACTCCTGGGCTTAGGCGATTCTTCTGCCTCAGCCTCCCAAGTAGCTGGGACTACAGGTGCCCGCCACAACCTGGCTATTTTTTGTTGCAGTTTGGCCGGGGCTGGGTTTGAACCCGCCACCCTCGGTATATGGGGCCGGCGCCCCACTCACTGAGCCACAGGCGCCTCCCTCAGCTTTGTTTTTTTTAATATTCAAATAAAGTTTTTTGGACTTTCTTTGGGGGTAGAGATGAAAGGACATACTTTTCACTCTAGGGATATTAGTATTTAGACCAAGACGCACGTTCTTAAGAGTTGCTAGTTTATCAGGTTTAATCCTTACACCTAGGTGGATAGTTTTTCTGGTGGCTTAAATCTAGTTTTGCAACAAATCAGCACACTCTTATTAATTTGACGTGAGCGATTGATCTGGAGAGGATATCAACTTGGACTTAGAAACTTAAACCCGGTATTTAATGCTGCAAGAAAAGCAGCAGCCAAATGAGTCAGTAAACAATGCTTCACCTCAGTAAAAATGTGCTTCATCTGGGCTTGTTTATTCCTAAATCGCTTGATCTTCTGTGCGATGCGAGGATCCTTTTCGAGCTCTTCCATTGTGGCCCATTTACAATGTAAGTAGGAACTATCCAAAGACACACAAATTGTGAGACAAGCACATAGCTAGCAAATGACTGAGCTTTCAGGTGTTCAGTAAACAGGGTGACCATCTAACACAGAAACAGTGGAATGGTTTGCTGCGAACCTGAGAGAGATTGGGCTTAGAAAAGCTTTACCCTAAGGGCAACAATAAAAAACAAAACAAAATGGAATAATTTCAAGCAAGTGATCTCTGCAGCTTCCACAGAAACAGAGCAGAGGAGGGCAGGTGTGGGCAAGTTATTATTAACATACACTAGTGAGAGTGGACAGGTAGCAGAATGGAAAAAAAATACAGGAGGGGGAAAAAAGAATACAGGCCCATCAGACAGTGGTTTTCTACCCTGGGTGAACCTGAGAGTTGCCCGTATAGTTTTTAAAAAACCCCAATCCTTGGGACCCACAGAGTCTGAGCCAATTGGTCTTGGGTGGAGCAAGGGCTTCAGCAGCTTTAAAAATCTCTCTAAGTAAATCTACATGCAACCTATGCTAAGCATTACTCCCTAGGGTGAACTGAGTCTGCCACGTTTCAATTCATTAGGGCCCAGTCTCTGAAGCTACAGAAGATAATAAAGTCACAGGGAAAGTTTTATCCATATAAAATCCAAGTACATGTAATACTTTAGATAGACGTACAAATTTCTGTACTTAACGTAGAACAGCTCCAAGTCGAATGGAGGCTCTCCTGGGTGTACCTGCAACCAAGAGCAAGCAGCTATCAGTCCACGTCTCAGCCAGATCACCCTTAGGTACCAAAAGAAAACAGGTAATTGACGCTTCTGTCTGCTTTTAGTAAAAATTTCTTAAGGATGTTTTCATTTTGGGGGATTTTTTTCCTGGTAGCTAATGATGAGGTTTTCCAAAGGCTGAACAAGCAGTTACAAAGTTAAAAAAGATCTTCCTGGTGTTCATCCAAGGTCCAGGATGGGACAACATTCAGCTGATCAACCCGAACTGGCTCAAGGCTCTGAGGAATGTCAGGACTGGAGCCTACTGCAGAAATAACCACATTTATCTCTGGCATCCCTTCAGATTCCTACCCCTAAAATACCAATGGTGTTTATTCACTCTCCAAGTAAGGAAGTCTACTTTCATGACCACACCTGCAGTGAGGATGGAGCCATGCCACTACCACCACACCCTCCCACTCCAGGGGTTTTCTCTAGGAGAGTCCTACAATGGCCCTGGGATGTCTAAAGAAAAAAACCCACAACATTTCCATTAGGATTCTTTTTCCATCTCTTCTCCTTGGCCCTCTGATGACTGGCATTGGACTACAGAAACCAAGGGATAAACACTTTTCGGTAGAATCACAATGGAGAAAATTATCAGTTTAAGCCATTCAAGATACTGAAGAGTTTCATGTCCTAAAATCCTTCATGGTGGTAAAAGTAAGTGTTGACTAGCTGGATAATATTCTTGCCTCTCTCTCACTCTAGCCAAGAATGACCACTCTAGGTTCTAGCCTACCTGTGCTAGTGATACAAAGACAGAAACCTGTGCCACTGACCTCCTGGACAGTCTTGGATGCCAAGATCTTCTCAATGATGTTTGCATCATCTTCTGGAGGCTCCTGGAGACAAAGATTAAAAAGAAAAAAAAAATTGCTGGAATCACAGAACCCAAGAAAATAATTCTGCAAGAAGTAACTACTATGGGTACTACTTTATTGAAAAGTTCACCCTTGAGTACTGAGGGCTCCCTCCTATCAGCCCATGGAGTGGTCAAAAGATCACAAACATTTTGCAAAACGAGAATTTAAAGGGGTGCGTTTAATTTCTGGGCACAGCCCTATCATGAAAGCAGAGAAGTTTTTCTCCTTTTCAGATTTAATTCCAGATCTGCATTTAGTATCATTAAAATTGGTCCCACGACTTACCTTCTCTGCAAAACTATATGATGCTGCGTAAAATTTTCAGAAGGCTGTGAAAAAAAGTCTGGGGATCTTAGAATCAGGAAGTCCTAACTCTAACATCTACTTCTACTATCTTTGGGCAAGTCAATTACCACCACTTAGTTTCCAAACCCATCGAAATAGGAGTTAAAAATGCACATCTTATTGGGTACCATCTTTCCTTTCTGTTAGATATCATGGAACTAGCTTTCTGTTTCACTGATCATCCTCGGCTTGTAAATCCCAGTTGAAAATAAATTCATTCTTTCCTGTTCTAGTTACACATCATTTTAGGCTCCTAATCGCCACCAAATCTTCCTATAGATTAAAAAAAAAACCACCCTGCATAAAAACGACAAATGTAAAACAAGGATGCACTGAGTGAGAACACTCCTGTCTAACTTTCTTCCCAGGATTCTGAGCAGTTTTATTTCTCGGTGGTGTCATATGCACTATGACCTTTCCAGATCACAATATGAGACTTAAAACATGTATGAATGCACTCAATTTGTGCCACTTAATATAGCATTAGCTATGGCCTTAAGCTGTTCTCTTAGTCTTTGGTTTTCTACAGCTGAAGATATACCTAGATATGGTTTTCTTTTTTGGATTTTTCCTGCTTGAGGGTTATCTGACTTGAATGTACTGGTAGATATCTTCCATCACTTATTGTATGCTCAAACGCTGCTCTGCTCCGATCTCCTCTATGCCTAGGACTCCAATCAGAAACACATTTGATTTTTTTTAATTGCATCCTACTTGTCTCTCTTATGCTTTTACTTTTTGCTCTGTTCTATCCATTTGTTGTTTTCTGTAAACTTCTGTTTAGAATTTTTCTACTCATCTATATTCATATTCACTAATCTTATCTTCTGCTCTATCTAATCTGCTTCTAAACCCATCCACTGGGTTCTGGATTTTATACATTGAAATTTTCAGTTCTAGACTGATAATCTGATCTGTTGATCTGATTACCGTTTTAGATTTAATTCTCTGTTGAAAGTCTTCATTTAGAATTTATACTGTTGGGCGGCGCCTGTAACTCACTCAGCAGTTAGGGCATTAGCCACATACCCCAAGGCAGGCAGTTTGAACCCAGCCCAGGCCAGCTAAAACAACAATGACAACTGCAAAAACAACAAAAATATAGCCGGACATTATGGCAGACATCTGTAGTCCCAGCTACTTGGGAGGCTGAAGCAAGAGAATCACTTAAGCCCAAGAGTCTGAGGTTCCTGTGAGCTGTGACGCCATGGTACTCTACCCAGGGTGACACCTTGAGACTCTGTCTCAAAAAATAAATAAATAATAGATTAAATAAATAAAAATTTATACTATCTTTTCCTCCACTTTTGTTACCATATTAATTGTAAGTATTTTAAAGTTCTTTCCTGCCAACACCAATATCTGGGTCCCCTGGTGTCTATCCCACCATATGCTTATTCTCTTAGCTTTTAGCCACATTTTCCAGCTTCTTTAAACATCTAATAATTTTTTTATTGTATTTTGGATGTTATACATAAAAAAGCAACTCCAAACAATATTTTCTGCCACGAGGGTTTCATAGTTCCTGTTAGACAAATTGGGAAGGAGTGTTCCTCCTGATTCAGTCAAGGACTGAGTTTGTTCAGGACTGGGTTACTGTTTTAAGATTCATTTCCATCCACCTCTTGTCTTACTCTGTTCCTGTAGCACGAATGGTCAAGGTCACTGAGTGAGTGGAGGAAAAGACTCTGACTATGTGCCAGGCCCCTCCATAGTTGAGAAGTTGGAAGGTCTTTCTTCTCTTGACCCCTGACATATGTGGAGGTTTCGAGCTTGGCTTTTTAGTCTCCAATGCCAAGCAGGTTAAAAATCTCCCAAATATCTTAAGGGAAAATAAGGTTTTTTTCGTGCTAAGCCCACCTCTCTATGAGAGTTTTGTCTCCCAAGTACCAGAAGACTATGAAATTTCAATCTGCCTTCTGGCTGAATTCCTAGTTTCCTCGGATACTCCAGAATTCAGCAAAACTCTGTTGAAGAAATCCCCTTACTTTGGGGCTTCCATTAGCTTCCACACATTTACCCACCCTTGTATGTTTGGTCACCCAGAGTCAGATGGTTTCTCTTTAACCCAGGATAGTCCCACGTCTGGGCCAAGCCTGACTCCATGTAACTCACTCTGGTTATCTTTTTCTGCATCACTTAATGACACTGACATACTATATAATTTTCTTATTTTATTAGGTTTATTACCAGCCTCTTCTTACTTATGTGCATTCTTTGGAAGTTCTGACCTTAGTACTTTGGCCTAACATCCCATGAAGCTTCAAAATGTGGCAAACATGTGGAGGGAAACACTGTGTGTGTGTGTTGCAGCCCCGTCCATGAGGGCAGAAATCTTTGTTGCTCTTGTTCCTTGGTATCATCTCCAGCATCCTGACAGTCTCTGGCATATAGCAGGTGACCGATACATAATGTTCAGAGATTCTGCAATAGAACATGGTAGTAGCAGTATAAACTACCATGGGAACCCAGAAGCCAGAGCCCCTGGGTGACTATAAGCAGCTTTAGAAATGAAGTGACCATGAGTTAGATCTGTGGGCCAGCCCTGACTTGTGTCACTGCTGACTCCTTTCCCTGCCCGCCCTTAGGGTGGACCCCAGACTGGCAAACACAAGCATTCGCACACACTTAAAGGAACCACGTTCTCTTCCTGATACCAGATTGCTTCAAATGTTCTCTTATTCCTATCCACCCCGTGAAGAATAAACAATGTTTATTTTTAAATGTCTTAAAAAATTGTTACAGGTATATAGTATTTGTATATATTTATAGAGTATAGGTGGTGTTTTAACACAGGCACACAATGTTAATTAATCAAATTGGGGTAACTGGGGTATCCGTCACCTTGAGCATTTATTAATACTTTGTGTTAGGAACATTCTGATTCCACTTTTTTAGTTATTTTAAAGTATATCATAACTTGTTGTTGATTATAGTCACTTTACTGTGCTGCCACATACCGTTCATTCTATCTAACTACATTTTTGTACTCATTAACCATTCCCACTTAATCTCCCCCACCCCACTCCCCTTCCCAGCCTCTGGTAACCATCGTTCTTCCGTCTCTGTGAGATCAACTGTTCTTAGTATTTAACTCCCACGTGTGAGTGAAAACATGTGAGATTCGTCTTTCTGTGACTGGCTTGTGTCACTTAACATAGTATCCTCCAGTTCATCCATGTTGTTGCTAATGGCAAGATATCATCCTTTTTATGGCTATATAATATTCTACTACGTATATGTGCCACAATTTCAATAAAGATGATTTTTGATGCAATGACTTGGACTGCTATTCCAAGTATTTTACTAGGACTAGATCCAAGGAAACTTTACTACAGGGATGAAGACAACACAGGACTTTACTCTGAGTACTAAAGGGTTGAGGGAGAGCTAAACACTCTTTATTGTAGAAAAAGTTTGAAATAAAATTTCAATTTATTTTTTGGCACTGGTTAAAGAAGGTGTGATCACTAGCACGAAAGAATTAAAAAGTGATCGTCTAATACTGAAAATGGATGTTCATTCCGTCCCAACAAACGGAAAAGGGAGCAGCATTCCCAAATCACACATCAAAGTAGGAAGGAAAATAAGTCTTTTTTTCTAAACAGAGATTGTGCATAAGTATGATGGCATGTGTATAAACACTCAGTGTATACAGATACACACAGATATAAACTAAATCTGCTTGCCAAACACACTTCCATAACAACCATCTGTTCCCAACTGCTTGGAATTTCCTCAAATTATCCTTCAAAGAAGACCATTTTAATTCATTCACTTGTATGTCAGAGCTTTATATAATTTAAAAATTTTATTCTTAGGGAAAATTTCAAAACCTTTTAACCCTATCCACCCCAACTTCATCAACTACCTCATTTATTTCTATTCTGGAGGAAGTCTAGAAAGAAGCAATCACTTTCCAAATCATCAAGTAATCACTAAGTGCCAACGGACACACAGAAGTAGCATTGAGCTCCACGCGTGGTGTCCAGGGAACGTCACTCATTCAGGGAAGAAAAAATAAGCACACGTGTCTTAGAAATGCCCCAAGGTCAGGAGACCCTTGAGCGGCAGGTTTGGCCCGGTTGCCATTTTGGGAGCATCTTCGTGGCGTCGACCTTTTCTTTTCTTCCCAACTATGGAGAACGCAAAAGGCAACGAGTGGAATTCCATGGAGAAGGCCAAAGAAGAGTGTGGAAATTACAATATTGACGACACAGCAATAGAAACTTGCTTGGTAGAGGACCAGCAAGCTTCAAGTCAACAGAATATACTTGATATGCCAGCAAAGAGGACAAAACGAAAAAAATCTGTCAAGGATGACAAAGAGTTCTGCTACCCCCAAAAGAAACGTGAACATAGTGATATGCCAAAACCTCAGAGGAAGGTGCCGCCTATTCCTCCAATACCCGACGAATTACCACCAGTAAATCTGCTTCACCGGGACACCGTACGGGCCTGGTGCCAGCAATTACACCTGAGCACCAAGGGCCAGAAACTGGAGGTATATAAGCGTCTATGCACGCACGCTTTTCCAAATCAAAAGGATTTTCCTAGCACAGCAAAAGAGGCCAAGATCCGGAAAACACTTAAAAAAAAAAAGTTGAATGTGGAAAAGAAAGCAATTTCCCCAGAAGGTTCTGCGCAAAGGATGTGTGCTCAGGGGACTGATCCTCCTGCAGTAGTTCTCTCTCCTGGATTAGGATCTCCCCCTGAAGAAGGGGGTTTGCCTGTCTTGGAATCTGCCTCTCTACTTGAAGGAGTTAATACGGTTGTTGTGACAACTTCTGCCCCAGAGACTTTGTTGGCCTCCTGGGCCAGAATTGCAGCAAGGGCTGGGTCATCCACAGAGGCAGTGGAATCTCCCCAGAAGGACTGTG